ACGTTACACCCTCGACTGATTCGCCAACTGTGTTGTACTTGTTGTTCAAACTACGATACGGCCTAGTGTTTCTAAGGTCGTTTTCGATATCGTAATCGCGATCAGTCTCATAGGTGTCGCTATTGTAGATATTGGACGACAGTGTTCGTGTTTTAAGTCCGCCATAGTCGATTTCTTTTCTCTTTTGCTCCTCTAATCTACTCCTACCATTGAACGTTTGTGTTGTTTGCTATATTTACAGCATATGTTAGATAGTGTTAGTTAATATAACATAGGAATATTAGCATTTTCATATATTTTTATTTAAATTTTCTTTTTTTTATTTATTTAGTTTATTTCATTCAATTTTTTATAACAATCTTAATATAATATTGTTTTAAATCATTTTTTTGTGCTAATTTTCCTTTGTCATAATGAAAAACCTAAATTTATTTTAAATAGGGCTAAGTTTATTGTGCGACGTTCTTCCACGTTGATGATATCGCCACACCTGGCAGAGTTTCAGAATTAGAATCAAGTGAGGTGGTTTGAGAATGTGCTCAGTACCGGAGTCTGTGTAGAAAATCAGTGTTAAGTGTTTTATGTACAGTGTAACAAGAAAAATAAGTGGTACGGTGGTGGAAATCATTCTATCTTTTAAACGGCGCGCAACCTTTTAGCTCGCCCCTATTTTGAACGGCGAAAAATGTACTCGAATCGCGTGCTAAGAGAATTTGCATCTCGAGGAAATTGCGTTCGCAATTCATTTCTTTCGTCCGCGCGATTGTAATCTAATAAACAGTAGCTATTTGTTTAAAGCGAGAAACTAAATGTTTGAATTAATTATTTTTATCGCGAGTTTGTACTTGTTTTAACAAGGGTAACGGTTAAGTGCATAGATATGCAAATGATAAGAACACGTGTTAGACAGTATACGATTATTTAAACATATTTTAACGCTTGGTATAAATGAACATCTTTTGTTGAACAAGTTAATTTTCGTTATTTATGATGACATGGTTATAATAAAATTGTTCCAAAATAATTTATTGCGCAATTTTTCATATTTTCTGTAATGAAAGAACTGAAGGTTTTAGTATAAAGAATATTTTTCGCATATTTTATTTTGTTTTTCGATTCAGCTCAATTTTCGAGATAAATCTTGAACCAATCAATTAATTGATTGGTGAGGTCAACATTTTTGGCAAATTTTCTCTCTAGCATATCTAATCTTTTAGAAAAACTATTTTTAAAACGTTTAAACGTAATACTAGAAGCCAAAAGACCTGTACCATATCCACCAAAAGATCTAATCATTTGAAATGGTGACTTTTGCAGATGCTTGCTATGGGTAGAAATATTGCAGAAGCTACCAATAAATATCAGGTCGCGGTAGATCAAATTAACTCATGGACTAAAACCTGGAAAATAAAATTAAACGAAAATAAATCGCCATAATTGAACTTCACTAATAAAAAGTAGACACGTGTTGGCAAAACTTCTGCATCGTATCAATGAGGAAGTCATTCAACCTTAGGACAACAGCCAGCTAGTACGCAGACTTCAAATCACTAAACAGTTTGAGTTGGTATAGTGTTGATACAGTGAAATTGTTCACAAAGTAGTGAAAATAATTTTTAATGTGAGATAACAATGTATTCAAGGCATTACTAAACTAAAGAAAGCATGGGTGAAATTCTGGTGTAAATTTAAGCTAGGTTAAAGAAAATCATGCGCTCTGTGCCGTAAAAACTGTATATTTAGACATATTTGTTAGATTCAACATTGCGGAAGATATTTAAAACCGGAAGAAAAATTCAAAAATTTTGAAACTTTGTGACATAATTGAAACGCTATCAAAATAGACTCAGTAAGGCCATTGGAATCAATTTTAGCAAACTATGCAATCCCCCCATTGAGAGTACCATCAGGCATTAAAATAAATTTTAGTGATGTTGCAGTAAACAAAAGCTTTTATTGCCAATATAAAAATAATACATTTTTTATTACGTTAAAAAATAAGATAACACTTGCTTTAGCTAAATCACATTATGATATTCAGAAAAACAGATCTTTCTTTCATTACAACATTACACGCAGTACATTTTGAGTGGGGTCTACTTGTGGCAGAACAATTTTCACAACTTCCTCTTTCTTTTGAACTTGCGCTACGACATTTTCGTGGACGCAGTAAATTTGAATATTTATTTATCAGACCTGTAGCTACAGAACGATGAAAATGTGATAGAATATTGAGAAAAAACATATTGAGCAAAAACTAACATTTTCGCATAATCTAAGTGTCAAAAAGGATGCTAATTCAAAAATTCCTGGAAGCCGTGTTTATTGAAATTAAGAAATGAAACTTATTTTAAATTGAAGCTTAAAGCTTTGCTTAAATCGATGTATAATAATCATTGGGTTGAATTAGAAAAGTATTGAGAAAAAGAGTATTGAGTTAAAACTAACATTTTCGTATAACCTAAAAATATCAAAAAAGATGCTAATTTAAAAATTTCTGAAAGCCGTATTTATTGAAATGAAGGAATGAAACTTATTTTAAATTAAAGCTCAAAGCTTTCTCTTTAAAATGATGTATAATAATTGTTGGGTTGGATTGGAAAAATATTGAGAAAAAAAATGTTGAAACAAAACTTACATTTTCGTATAACCTAAAAGTGTCAAAAAAGATGCTAATTTAAAAATTCCTGGAAGCCGTATTTATTGAAATTAAGGAATGAGACTTATTTTAAATTAAAGCTCAATGCTTTCTTTTTAAAATGATTTAAAATGAGTGTTTAAAACTACCGGTACTTTAAAGTACCGTCGGGACTCAAAGGGTTAAGGTATTCGATGTATAAAGATCTTGAAAACATGATTACTGAACTTGCCAAATACAAAGTTAGAAGCGGTTTCTTTGCAAAACAGTTCGTTACTTCCAGTGAGAAATTAGATGGCGTTACGTGGTGTAAGAACTTGAGTAAGTAAATAAGAATTTGAGGTTGCTACCTGCGTATGTATTAAACTTAGTAAGCAGGTACGCAAACAATTAATACAATTTTAGAATTTAGTTATTGGTCGTTAATTTATTGATAGGTAAGGATTTATTCCCAGTCTAAGAAGAAATCCAAGAAAAGTATTGTTTGAGGTAGTAATATTACATATTTATTACACAACCACAATTGAATGAATAAGGAAACAGCCTAAGAGGATGAAAGTAGAGTATAGGTGGCAGTTGTAGATGAGCAGGTGTCTGCATCCGATTATTCATTTTTTTTATCGAGAAGTATTATGATTTCTCTGTCGCAATTGTATCTTGAAATATACAAGTAGCGTTTGGAGTGTCTATAGTGCTTTTGTATTTGTGTCTTTATTTTGCAGATACGCAGTTGGAAGTTCTCAAAAATTTAGTGATGAAGACCATCTTCCGTTTTCCAGTTTTCAGAATCTGCCTGCTTTAGATGTAACGGAGTACGGAGAATTACTCCTGAGAAGGGAGTAATTCTGGAGTACTGTAGATGAACAAATTCCTAGTTCTTTGCATCCTAATTACAAAGTACTTCTCAAAAATACCATAGCAGCCAACTGAAATTTATCTTCTAAGGAATTGAAACACTTCATTGGTTGTTGTTTCTATATATTACTAATATCAGCACCAGGAAATAAGAGATACTGGAGCAGTAATTGCAGAATTCGTCATATCGCATACTTTTAATGCCTGGAAAAAGATGGGAGCAATTGGAAAAATGTTGCAGATAATTTCCATTTTCCTTTGGAAACCCCAGACCGTTTATTCATAATCAGAAGTGTCATTGAAGAAATAAAGCAAAATATCAAATTTATCCCAGTAGACGAAACAATTGTGCCATTGAAAGGAAAAGTAGTTTTAAATTTTGCTTTGCAGGTGCAAGTGATATCATATACGAGTTAGAAGTATATTGTGGTGCAACAACACTAAATTACAATTCAAAAAGCCGAAATTGCCGTAATTGCGTGACTTCCAAACAGAAAATGTAGAATTGTCACTTTTCGACTTCATAGCTGACTTTGCACAAAGCTTATGTTGTGTTAGAAAAAGCAAAAAAATTGCCCGTCATCCAACACCACACTGCCTCAATCAAAAAACAAAAGGAAAATGCGTTTAGCTTGGCCCAAAGCTGATTGCTGCCTTGATCTAATCGATCACTGGGCTAATTACGAGTGGGAGATGTAAGCACCAAAAATGTCAGTATATGCTTGAATAAAATTATAGTTTCAGCATTTTAGTACTGAAATCTCAAGCGCTTGACAGGTTAATAGCACAGATGTGGTGTACATAACCTGTAAAATACTTTTAGAAGTAGATACACATTACTTTGTGATGGCCTCATAAAATATAACCTCATAAAATCAAGAGTACTGCACATTGATGTGTTATACACTGAGAGAAATATATTCTTGAACGAAGATTATTACTCTTGGCTCAACCTTATCATACTCTTGTATATCCACAAGAAGATCATTTTGTTGAGTGAAGAAAAATCAGATATTCTGAAAGCAAGTATACAAATATTCTTGATTCTCAAGAAAACGAGTTCTTAGTAAATCAATAATCTTGAAAAAGAGTATCTTAGTGTTGCATCAACAATAGAGAATAGATATCTTAAGTTAAGAATAACATATCTTTCTTTTTAGAAAAACTTATTTATGTAACAACAATCTTGTATAATTCTTCATTTGAGTATTATAAATTATTGACGCGAGAATGAATTTTTTGATACAAAAATTGATATTCTTCGATGATAAGAATATGATATACTTCATACGATAATATTTCCATTCTTAAAACAAACATTTTTGTGTTAAGAGTATCTTATACTTGTTTCTAAGAAATACATTCAAGAATAAATTTTTCTGGAAAGTCAAGAATAATTTCCCTCACTGTACAAACCTATCATTGCTAAATCTCATACCTAAAGCCTGTTAAACTGTAGCATCGTGGATAAATAATTAACGGATAATGGAATTAGACTTTGTTCCTAGTTTGTTCCTAAATTTTATTTTTTTGGATTATAATATCATGAAAAAGCAATTCCAAGAATATAGTCTATCCCGTATTTATGATTTAGCTACAGTCAGCCTCTTTAGCCAGTACAAAAATCAATTAGTTAAACATAGAGAGAAGATTCCTTTTTTCAAATCGCGTCATAAAAATTTATTAAATAAACAATAAATGATTGTGTCAAAATTTCGATCTCAAAACCAATAGGATTGAATTTAAAAACAAGTGTGCAAAAATGATTGGAACTATAACTTTATTTAGGTGACATTTATAATTTTATAAATTTTGGTTGTTGTGAAGCAAAATGTTTTGAAAACACCTTTTGTCCGCTCGTGTTCAAAACTGTATAAACTTGTGTTATTTATAACATATCAAAATATGGTTACATTTTGTTGAATAACGTTCGGAGTTCAAAGGAATTTCGATTGTAAACATAAAAGTATATTTGGTGGCATATTTTTATGTGAATATAGGACAGGTCCGGCGTTCAAACGTAACGGACAAAGCAGAATTTTCCGGGCGAACGTGCGGATCCGGTCTTTAATTTCTGCGCCAATGTGTTGGCCCGCTTTGGTGGCAGTCATAAAATTTCTCCGGCGTCCTTGTCATACGTCTTCCATTTGACTTATTTTCCAATTTGTAGTAACCGGATTTTCCGTCTGGCGCGATTGTTCCCGTCCGGTTTTCCACCGGTTTTCCTACCACATATTCGGCTACAGTGTTGAACAGCTCATTTTGTTTGTTACTCTTTATACATTGTATCACGATTTTGTTTCGTACGCAAAAAATAAACATTCTTTATATGTTTCTTTTTTATAAATCAAGAACATTAAAATATTAATTATTTTGTATGGTTTTAAAAAATAACTTTAATCCAAACATGGCAAAAAGAATTGAATAACATCACAAATTCAAATCGAATTCAATAGATAGGATATGAGCTGTTTCACGAAAATAACAACAAATCGACAATGATTCATTTTACTGATGTTTGCATTTAATCTCGTTTTTGTTGAAAACGCGGACACATTTTTCAAACTAGCGGCGCGAATATTTGAAATGCAAATCCTCATCGTTTTCACTATGAATCGCGTTTTCGGATTGATTACCATTAAATTTATCCACAGGATTATTTCCACCACCGCAGTATTTCACTTTTTCATTTGGTTAATTTAACACTCAAAATAAACGCACGCAAAACGTTGGTGTTATTGGTGCTGTCCAAAAATTCAAATTAAAGTATGCTTCGTGTGGCACACCAGGCATGCAAAAAATATATGCGAATACGAAAATAAAAATTAAATAATCGTTCGGATGACGATGGTGAAAATCAAAACTACGCGAAAAGCATAGATGATAAAGATGAATTTCGTCTAAATGGACTATTTATCAAGCTATAAAGTGTTGTGGTGCTCAGAGTGCAAAGTTATATACACAAGTGCTGAGAAAAGTGCTTTTGTGATTTAAAAAATAGTGTTCAAAAAGATCAAACATAAGTGAGTTAAGATTTAATAGAAATAATAGAGATGCCAAAAAAAGAATAAATGGCAAATTTAAATAAACGTATTTACAGCTTATTTACAAAGTATGTATCTCTATTTGTTTCTATTTATTCCTTTCAGTTAAATTTTAACTTCTTTGGTGAGAGACGACAAGTGCTGTTTCGGCAAGACATGAAGGGAAATTTCCTTTTTTATAACTTTTCGGATGCTTCATCAAAATTCATTATTCTTTTAAACACATTCTGGCTGAAAAATCTATTTATGCGACGACATTTTCTATACTATTGATATCAACGACACCAGTCAACATTTAGTTTTATTTTCAGTGCAGAAAAAGATACCGTGGTTATGATTTCACACACTTTGGCAGTAACCGCCTGGTATTAATTACCTCGACTTAAGAAGAACGTCGTTTAGAATTAAAATAGATAGATTTAATTAAAATACCGTTATAATGTAATATATTTTTGTTCGTTTTTAATGGTGTCGAGGGAATTAACACCTATATTCTATGACCGTGGCTGGTCTGCCTCGCCTCGGTCCTGTGGTGCAGTGCTACACTCTAGTGGGTGGCTGCAGCACCATAGCGGCGAGACGTACCTTCATTGCTTCGGGGCTACTATGACCTCTTCCACCTCTCGGAGTTGTTGTATATATGGCATCTGCGGGAATTCCCCCTGGACCTGTCGCATTTTTCTCTATATCCATTTTCTCTCTGTAAAAAATATAAATTAATATCTAACTCGTAAAAGAAAACAACCGAGGTTTATTAAAAACTTTTTATCCGTTAGCTTGGTGCATAATAATATGTCATTATTATTCATTCCTTTCACTATTAACATTAATAATTAATTATATACAGACGTAGTTTAATTAGCATAATAAATAGGAAAAGCTGAGAGTAGGGAGATAATAATAATGGAAAAAAATTGCGTTGGAGAGAACTTTACTGAGTTGTTATAATCTTGTTTAGTGTAAAATTTCAGCTTTTTTCTTATTGAAATAGATAGTTAATATACTATAATGCTGACAAAATGGTTTTATAGAAATTTATAAAATAAGTGGATTAATTCACGAATATTTAATTAAATCAATGAGGAAAATAGTGGATTTTTGTGATGATGAACAATAAGGTGAAGAGGGAAACTTGGAAACACAGTAGCCAGATTAAGAGAGATCAAAGATAATTGTTTCTAGATAAGCAATTATTTGAGCTTCATTCTCTCTTTTTAGTCATCAATTGTCCACTCCTGGACGAAGGCCTTTTTTATATGTTTCCATATTTCTCTGTCCTGGGGCACCTCAAAACATTTGCTTCTCGTAATTCTCTTTATGTCGTCTTCCCATCTTCTTGTAGGTCTGTCCGTAGTGCGCTTTGTTATGGCTGTCAGCATTTCAGCGTCGCTTTTCATAGTTTTAGCTCCACAACTCGTGATATTATATCCATAACGCCATCGGATATCCTCATTTTTGATTCTATCAATTAAGTTGATACCAAGCATACGTCGCACTTCTGCTCTCTGTATGACCTTCAATTGGTTTACACTTTTTTTTTGCCACCACCATGGTTTTCAGTATGTAGGACGTCACTGGTAGTACGCATGAATTTGTCTCCGTTTCTCAGTATGTGTTTTTTATTTGCCAAAGACTACCCATATCTGTTGTATTCTGCTTTTTATCTCAACTGTCTGATTCTCTTTCTGCATTCTGGCATGTCCTAGGTAAATATATTTCTCTACACTTTCCACAAATTCGTTGTTTCTGCTTGATATTTTCGCCCATGTTGCTTATTATTTTTGATTTGCGAAAGTTCATCTCCACTTCTCTGGCCGCTGTATTTGTGTTAGCATGTCTAATAGGTCTTGGATATCGCTGGCCATTGTGACAAAATAGCCTACAAAGCGTAGATGGGTAAAGAGGTCCCATTTTCAAGTGCTAACGTGAACCGTTTCGTGAAAACAGGTGTGGCATTAGCATATATGTGTTTCAGGAGGTTTGTGTATCATGAGTCAATCCTGAGCTGATCCTGATACAGGAATGTCCAGGTTTCGATGCTGTGGAATACTTTGTGGAAGTCCACGAATGCCAGGTGTAGAGGTATGTTGTGGTGCTATAATTCTTCCTAAAACCTGCTTGTTCTACAAATTGATAACTGTCGAATTTATTTGTTAACTTGTTTGTAATAATGTTTGTCCAGGGTTTGTATAGATGTGACAGGAGGCTAACACTTTTCAATGTTTGCGATATCTTTTAAAGAGTAAGACGACTTCTGCATTATGATATATGTCTGGTATCTTACCTTAGTTACAGCACTTGTTAAGTTTTTTAACATCTTGGTGGTGATTCTATTCTTATTCTCCTGGGATTTTTTTGTTGTTTAGATGGTTCAGCGATGTTCTTACTTCCGTTTAGTTATTTCCGGTATATCCTTGGACCCAACGTTGCAGATGTGCGTTTCCCACTATTTAAATTTTTATTTGTTACCGGTTTGTATCCAATCATATATTTTAATCAAATGCAAAAGGAATTAAATTCCGAAGTGTGCTGCAATATTTTATTTATATTTTTGTTGTATCAAACGAATACGTATCGCCCGATTGACGTTGGTCGTGCACACAAACAGCATTCTGTTGATGGACAGATTTTTAATTACATATTGAATAACTGCGAATTATTCGACGAAGTGTTTGTTTTATAAACAAAATAAGAGCCGCAAATCGCAACACGACTTCAGCAAAATATTAAAGAATGTGTTTTAAAATAGTAAAATTTAAAAAAAATGAGCAAGGACTTCTAGAAAAGAAAAGTTGAGTTAGGTTAGTTTTGTTTACAAATATCAATCAACTCTGACAAAAATATTAGGCCGTTTATGATAGGTCAGTTTTCTTTTGAAATCCCAATTAAAGCGTGAAGGAATGTTAAGACAGGTAGTTTTCTTTTGAAACCCCCAATTATAGCGTGAAGGAATGTTAAGACAGGTTAGTTTTCTTTTGAACCCTCAATTATAGCGCGAAGAAAACCCAATTAAAGCGTGAAGGAATGTTAAGACAGGTAGTTTTCTTTTGAAAGCCCAATTATACCATGAAAAAGTCTCAGTTATAGCGTGAAGGTATGTTAGGATAGGTCAGTTTTGTTTTCGCCTGTCAATCATCCTGGAAAATACTCCATGTTTGGTAATAAGTTAGATATTCGCATTTTTTCAGTTTTTACCGATAGGGCGAAAACAAAAGACGATAGCTATTCGAAGTTTTCATCATTAGCAGTTTCTCTAAAAACGAGATCATTTCGTAGATAGCCTATGCGGCCAACGAATTTGGGGCATCCTGTACATCCTAGTACTCATAGAGTTATACATTTATTGAGTATTGGATTTACGTCATTGTTTGAAATGTGGTGTTGCAAGTATTGGATTTGCATCCGCATCATTACCAGTGTAAGAAAAATGAATTTCGAAATTTGTTACTGCTTTCCATTTATTTTTGGAACCGCCGATGTTTGCGTCATAATACCACTTAATTTTAGTGTAATATGTGTGATCGCAAGCTAATCCAAATATATTTCAAAATGCTGAAGCTCATTCTCGTTCTGATCCACACGAATCAGTATTTGAGCATTTGCTCTAGAAGCAAACGGTGAAGTTCTAGGAAGATAACACCACATCATTTTCTAAATTAGATCCTCCGTAATTTTGGTCTGTAGCCGTTATGCAAAACACACGCTGCAACTTCTTCAACGATATTTCACCTTGGACATTTCTTCAGTTTCTATATCTTCCATGCTGTTTATATTGTTCATACTTATTTGCCATCACATTTTATTTTCAAATCACTTCATTAATTGGCAATGTTTTTGTCTCCTCCCTTAACTAGCTCCTACTTACACCACTAATTCTTACAACTTTGATTGTACGAACTCTATTGAGTTATGAATTTATCATTTAAAGTTTCCAGAATATTCGAGTTAATCTCGGAACAGTTCATTCACACGTTTACACCTGCGAAATTGACCATAATCATTAACGAAAGTTTCTAATCCAGACCTATGCTTTCCCAATTTATAGCATTGTGTGGATTTTAAGAGTCCAAATATTCTTCATTGACTACAATCTTCTCTTAGCTCCTTTTGGTTCTACGTTTTGGCACAAACTTCCGATTTTTTTCATTTTGCTTCTCCTTTTATATACATTTTTGATTTTCATCCATTTATATTATTTTTTACATAATTTGTGTATAATATACTTATGAATATCAATTTGAGGTACATAACCGAGCAAAAAATTTACCGTTATTGCAGGTCAATCAATATTGCTACACAAAAACGTTAAAAGAGAGAAACTTGAGTTACGTCGAGTTAAGTGCTTAAGGGAATACTAAAAGCGGTGCACTGTAAGAAAGAAACGAGGTGTATCTAGTGGGACAGCAGCAGAATAATTCATTGGAAAGTCGTTTAACGGTATTTACTACTGGTGAAGAAATCACCAATTCAACAACGCTATCTATCTAGCGTAGGTTCATCATGTTAATGCTTCTTAAACGAGATGGAAAGATAACATAAAAATAATTATATCGTTTAAACGCGCACCACATCCTTAATACGCTTGCTTTCTCATCTATATAGGAATTTATCCATAAAGACGCAACTTGAAAAACTAGTACTTGTATAAAGTTAATTTAAAAAACTGGTAATTCATCACGTCAATAAATTTTGATTAGATGAAATAAAAAGAATTTGCTGGTAAAGCAAAGGATAATAGTGGTAATTTTTCTTCGGGCAGTAACGCCTCAGGATGACGGCTTTAATCATTCTGTTCGAAAGAAATCAAGTATGCCTTCAAGGACCATTGAACTTTACTGGTGCTGACCATACATCAGCAGCTAGCGTCGTAAAATCTGTTCCTGTTATCTCGCCGAAGCGAATTGCAACCGTATCCTTGGAGGATTTAAATCACTTCCAACGGAACTGTTGGTAATAGCGCTATGTGGGGAATTGCCGCACTTAAATTAATCGTTAACACTTTGTCTCGAGAGATTAAAATTCACATCAGCAAGCTATTATATCGTGAGATTGAGCTTAAAATGTTACAGTTGATTTTTTTCTCATTTTCTTTTATTTTTTGTTATATTTTTTGTTAGAATAGAACTTGAAAGTCGTCTATACGAATTCTCGGCACGTACGGCCGTTCAAGAGCGATGTAGAAGCGTAAATGTCTAGACTGTAATATTCGCTAGTTACGTTAGTTCAGAAAATCTAGCAGAGTTCTTCTAAAAAATAATGATATCAGTTTGTTATTTTTTTTAAATTGGAATCAATTATTATGTAAAAATATCACTTAGGATATTTCAAAAGGAGTATTGTACAGTTATTATGCCGGAAATCTCATTTTTGTGGAGGCAAAGAATGGTTGATGAAAAAATATACAAAAAAGCAACGCACTTGTTCATATTTCATTTCAAGAGCAAACCGTTGCGGCACAGAAAATTTCATTTCAATTTCGTCGAAAATTGGCTCTTTCTCTTTAACAACCGCGGACGCGGTAAGGAGCTTTCCGCTGAGCAGAGTAAATATCCAGAGGGCCTGGTTATATTGAAGTCTTACGAGTGAAACAGATTGTCACGAAACGGATTGGAATACTCGAGGAACGCGGCTACATTGATGAAGTTGTGCCGGAGCGAAAAGGATTTTTTTATAATTTTATCAAAAATCATAAAGAACAATTTCAATTGCTCTTAAAAGATTCTGTTTTATTCAAAATTTGAATCTTAAAAAGATATAAATAGATACAAATCATCCAGAAACCCACCCGGAATTAATTTCACAGCTCGAGCATTTTAAAAGCTCCGATTCTCTCACAGTCAGTGGAGGGTCGTATTTTCATTTCTGGCAATAAACGGAGCCTCTTTTTCATGACGGGGAAGCATCTGAGAAAACGGAAGAGGCGTAGGCGTTATCGCAATCGTCTGCGCGCAGTTTCGCGAAATACGCGGCAATCTGCTAAAAACCTCCCTCTCATTTAGCCATTTATGCCACCTTAAATTTATACCGTCAGCAGTCTCCCCCAAAACGTTAACGGAACGACTTTTTATTCAGGAGTTCACCGCGTTCTCTCGGACCGATCGTAAACAGGAATTACTTTTTAATTAGGAAAGGCAAAAAGAACTCTTAAAACATATCCTCCAGGTAATTAAATAAATTTTGAGTCCGACTTACCCGTTTAAATCACTGGGTTTGAAGTCTCCTTTACCTGAAACATTAATATATAATAATAATAATAATAATAATAATAGTACTTTATTGACCGCAACAACCAACATAAAAAAGTTAAACAATAATATAAAGAAAAAGAAAAATAAATGAAAAATTCATTCTATATGTGAAACTAATTACAATCTGCGGCCAATAGGCGGAGTCCAGATTGGCATCCATCGCGAAAAACGAAGACAGCTATTTTGAACCCTTTGAATACGATGAAGTTCATACCCAGTTAAACATGGACCATACATGGCAGCACAATGCACAAAATTTGACAGAACAAGTGTTTCGCACAAACGTTTCTTTGTAATTATATTTAAAATGTGTCGTTGTTGATAGAGGCATCTAAGAACACCATATGCCTTTTTCACGCAAGCAGTGACATGACTGCTGAATCGCAGATTGCTGTCGACAAGCACACCCAGATTTTTTGACTCAGGGTGCACTACCAGCCTCTCTCCACCCAAAAATATACCGACACTATCAGAGTCCAAGTTACCAAAGATGACTACCTTAGATTTAGTGGCATTGGGAGTTAGTGCCATCTTGTGCGAGCAATCCAAAATAGCGTTCACATCTGCATTTATTTTTAAGCAAGCAGAAGCGAGGTGTTCCTTTGGAAAGGTTATGTAAATTCGGGTATCATCTGCGTACATGTGTATCGACGAATATTGAATGCACTTAGGCAACTGGGATGTATACAAGTAAAACAATAGAGGAGCCAGAATAGACCCCTGTGGCACTCCCACTCTCACAGGCAGTGATGATGAAGATACATTGTTCAATTTTACTATCTGAGCACGATTAGATAGGAAACTTTATTTAACGTTAACCTTATCAAAGGCCTTACTGTAGTCTAGCAGTACAAGTATCCCACATAGACCGCCATCACGAGCTCTAATAATATCGTCTGTTACCTTTAATAGAGCCGTTGTACAGCTATGGTTAGGTCGAAAACCAGACTGAGAGGTGGGCAAGATGTTATGATCACTAATATATTTACGCAATTGGACCTCCATGCACCTTTCAAGGACTTTTGAGATAACTGACAGGATACCAATTGGACGCAGGTCCGCCAAACCTGCTGGATTTGGTTTTTTAGGCAACGGCATTACCAAAGCAATCTTCCAGGCTTCCGGGAAAATAGACTGTTCAAGACAGGTATTTATAATATGTACAATGTAGGGCAATATTTCAGGGAGACACATTCTTATAAATGTGATGTTCAATTCGTCTATACCAGAAGATGTTGATTTAACCCTTTCGTTACTAAGAGCGTACGCATACGTTTTTGTATATGTGGGCTTGCTATATGATCTTGAAAATACTCCGTAACGAAAGGGTTAATGCCATTTAAAATTTTAATGATCGAAGAGGTGTCACTGAGTCCAAACGAAAATCTCTCATGGGAATTTGGGTAAAGCATATTTGTACCATAAAAAGTGAGCAAATCATCATCCACATCAGCATAACCAACAGAATTCACAAAATAATCATTAATATTTCCAACATCATCTAAATGTGCGGGAACAGTGGGTTTGGACCTGTTGACAATCTGCAANTCCGGGAAAATAGACTGTTCAAGACAGGTATTTATAATATGTACAATGTAGGGCAATATTTCAGGGAGACACATTCTTATAAATGTGATGTTCAATTCGTCTATACCAGAAGATGTTGATTTAATGCCATTTAAAATTTTAATCATCGAAGAGGTGTCACTGAGTCCAAACGAAAATCTCTCATGGGAATTTGGGTAAAGCATATTTCTACCATAAAAAGTGAGCAAATCATCATCCACATCAGTATAACCAACAGAATTCACAAAATAATCATTAATATTTCCAACATCATCTAAATGTGCGGGAACAGTGGGTTTGGACCTGTTGACAATCTGCAACTTGGATAACAGCCGCCAACTACTCTTTACATCACTAGTCACAGATGTACTATTTAAGAAAGATTTCTTTTCTCGTCGTATTGCAGAAGTCGTTAAATTGCGTAAGGACTTGTAGTAGTCGAAGTGCGCTATTAATTTAGTTCTTTTATATCGAGATAAGGCTCTATCCCTCAGCGACATCATTAGTTTTATTGTGTCCGTTAACCATGGTACAAATGGCCTATGTAATCTGAGTGACCGAATCGGTGCATGAAAATCTAGAAGTGCCAAAAAGATGAGTGTTTAAAAAATGTACTTTCTGATTAACATCAGTTATATGATAGATTGCATAGAGTGGTAACCGGGATAAATCACCCTTCAGACTATAGGCATCGATGTTTGATATAGGTCTACAAAATTTGGTAATCGGAATGGGCCTTGAATCAGAAATAGTAATGTCACATTGAACAAGATTGTGGTCTGACATATGCATCGGTATGCTTGCCTGGTTAATACAACCGTCAGGGTTGTTAGTGATCAAACAGTCAATCAAGGAACTCGAGTTATAACATTAATATAAACATTTGTTTTCGATACAATATAAGTTCTTTAAAGAAATGGAATTTTGTTTATAGCACGAGGAACGTGATCATAAGGATAAGGAGGGTTTGCAGCAAAGACTGCTTTAATTTTACAGGGCGCTATAAACGTTTTACGAGTACAGAGAATCGATAGATAGTGAAAAGTTTTGGGCGAGTCGTGGGACTCATTTCAGATAAGCGATAAAAAACTGGATCGTAAAATCTAACGGTATTTCACTTTCGTTCGGCACGAAAGCGCCAAAATTGACACGACAGGGAGGGTAGAGATTTTTTTCGCCATTGATGTGTAGGCTTTTGTGTCACAGTAATGTATTTTGTAATATAATGTACTTCGCCCTTAAATGTACCACGAAGTGAGCGTTCGTTAAAAAGTGCTTAAGCATGAAGTTAGACGTATACTGTGTTTTTTTATATACAAATTTCTTTTGATCTCGAAATGAAGCATTATTTTTTATCAAATTATAGCGGTTCTTATCGCTTTTATGTCGGGGTTAACCAACTCAATTTATGAACACTTGCTCCGTGTAACAAGATTTTTACCGACCGCTCTTTTATATTGCGAGAACTTCCACTTTGATGTATGTAAAGTAAATCTTTCGGTCTAGTTCACCCTGACAGTTGAAACAAATAGACTTACGTGCGAAGCAGCACTTTTCCGTGCGTACGGCGTATATGCAGGCACAAACGATCAGCAGGAGGGCGGCCAATCCAACACCGGCCAAACTCACCAGGGTACTCATCTCCAAAGGCTCTGAAAGCACGAAAACGGGATAGGATGGAATGAAAAAACATGTCGGAGAAAATAAATCGTTGTTCATTCAAAAGGAACATTTAATAAAAAAAGTGCTCCCTAAAACTTGTTTGTTGTCTAATCAACATTTTTTATTTTTTTTTTTATTTATTATTTAATAACAACTCGAATTCGTTTATAAAGGTTACGTTCTGTAGGTTAAGTAGAGCTTGATTGCATTTCTAGTAAAACGTCCAAACTCTTCGCTTTTACCAATTCCAGGGAATTACCGTGCTCCTCTTAAGAATTTCATCCAACGGGATCGCGATAAAGCATAGTTTTCCGGTTGCGAGATGGATGAAATTTATTCGTGGCTCGGTATCTCGGATCAAAGGTGGAAATTAAGACGTACCGTTTCCCACGGATTGCAGTCTCGCGGCTATCTAGTTTCGTTGATGAGATTTTTCGGGCCATCTGGCATGCAAATGTCGTTCGCTTGGATGTGTCCCAGGTTTTAAATTTTCCAACGTCCGTCCTTCGGGCCGCTAATCGCCTGAAACCGCCACGAGACGAACGATTTCGCCTCAGAATGCATTATACGATTCAACCGTCCATGAATTATTTATGTGGGAACTGTGAATGTCACAGGAATCAATTCCACGAATATTACATCTCTTTCAGACATACTTATTTTGTTTCTAACTTTATTTTTTATCTTTCTCGTGTATTGAAAGATAATAATAAATTAATACATCATTAGATTATGGTAATAATATGATTTCCAGGATAAATTTGCGCTTATTACTATTTCATGTGAAAACGTATTCTGATTGATTTTCGCTATTTTATAACATTATGATAGAGGTAAATATAATTATTGATCGTATGTTATATATAGTTCCTTGTTAAAACCTTAAGACTTTAAACCTTCACATAACAGAATGACTCCAAGATATAAATCATGATTTCTAACGACGTAGGAGGAACAGTATTATGAGTGAGAATTCGTTAGGAGCGATCCCGGATTAAAAGTATCCTTTATTCCGCAACAAACGGAATTTCACCACCAATTCTTTAATACTACCAAATGTACTATTTACTGAGAGTAGTATAAAAATGAGAGTTCTGCAACGGAAGTTGCTCTCCATGCTCCTCCTGTGAAGTCACAGTCCAATTCGAAAGGTATAGGGAGAGTGACCAACCTAAATATGGGGGAAAAACTTAGGTTGGTATTTGAAAAGTAACTAGTATCTGGTGATTTTTTAAAAAGTTTATATTAGCTAGCGCCACCTGTAGGTGAGAGGATCAATGTGACCATGAGTAAAAAATTGTAGAGTACTTATACGAGGTGTGGGGGGAGGGTATTATTATTTATTTAAAAAATGATGGAAAAAAGATTGCATGTTGGAGGAGGATGAGGAGAAAGATATTAGAGATTTGAATTAACGGTTTTGAACGCTTAAAAGCACGCCTCACGACGTTGGATTGCGCGTGCGCAGAAAGCCGTTAATTCAAATCTCTAATATTTTCCTCCTCATCCTCTTCCAACGTGCAATCTTCTTTTCGTCATTTTTTAAAATAAATAAATAATAATAATACCACCTACACCTCGTGTAAGTGCAGAATTCTACAATTTTTTACTAATGATCACATTGATCATCTCACCTACAGGTGGCGCTACTTTATTTAAATTTTTTTCTAGTTACTTTTCAAATACCAACCTAACTTTTTTCACCAAATTTAGGTTGGTTACTCTCCCTATACCTTTTACATTGGAGCGTGACGTCACAGGGGGAACATGGGGAGCAACTTCAAATATTGTAACTGAAACTGCTATAAACGTAAGTAGTCGGAATTTAAGAAACTCTTCATCAAAAAAAGCGGAATGCAAGAAGTTATTATATCGAGTATTGAGTAACGTATTGACATTCAGAAACTTTTTAAATAAAGAGCGTCAATTCATAACACTTAAATAGAGTAAGTTTTCTCTCGAAGTCTTTTAGACCACGTAATCAGTTTTCTTATTTGTTAAAATCTTATAATTTGTTGGAAATGGTATGTGGTCGCAACATGAAGAACTATATCAAAATACACTTCGAACCAGTTTCTGAAGAAGGTTGCAACATGGCATCCGAAACGTCAAACCTTTTATTAAAAGACGCACGGCAAAACCCGAAAGTTTCTAGTGTTAGTTCTAGTTTTAGTTCTAATCTTAGTTTAATTCACACCGGCCGTGAAAGCCTTCGTACTTATATATCAAAATAATTTACTCAGAGCAAGCCCGGATTTTTGTGGTCTGAATTAAAAGCCAGAGAACCTATAAATGAAGCTACCTCGTCAGTGGTAGCTAGTAACTACCTTCTTAAGATGTCGGAAAACGAGAATATTTATTTTTAATTTTGTAGAATCTCATCATTAAACGACCACCTGTTACAGATAGCATTTAAAGGACTAAAGGACCAAGGTTCCATGTGGGTGTACTCAACATGGAGGCTGTAAATGACAATTTCAATTTCTGTCTATACCTCCTGCTCCGTCTTTTTCTTCCATTTCATGATAGATTTGAACATCCGCGTTATTGCCTACCAATGAGCATCACTACTCAACATCAGTGTTACCGTATTGCTTTTAGTTACATTCTCCCCGCACACCATCTCATAGTCTAGTTTGTCTCTATATACCGAGATAGAAACAAGATTGCTCTACAATATCTGTTTCACCGCAAAACCAGCAACCGATTGATTCTGCCTTTCGTATTGATAGTAGATAGCTGCCAAAAACTCCGTGCGTCGTTAGTGTTTGAGTCACATAAATCACTTCCTCCCCATTTTCTGCCTATCCACTCAAACCTTTTTTGTACATTCATTTGTCCTGGCATAAATTGATACTGAGCAGGCCACACGTTTGGAACATAATGATATTTTGTAGCACGACTGTTCTATTTATGGTTTCATATCTGCACCTATCCACTCATTTGGGACATACCCTTGATCCATAGCGTTAAACCATTAGATCCATAACTGGTTCTTTTTAAACAAGAAATTACTGCAACTTATACTCCTTTTCTTGTAATATGTCAATTGCGTACTGGGTGGAATAGGATCCACTGTCGAGTTTGACTAATTCAATGTGGTATGGTAGCTTCTTCCACGGAGTAATTTTATTAGAGTTTACGTCAACAAACTCATTCATGGACAAACAGGATGTAGCGGGATGTCTGAATGAAGAATTGGGTTTATGATAGACGCAATACAAGCGTAAACAATTTTATGTCAGTTTTTGGAACTAAAACCTGAAGTCTGTGTCATGCCAAAGTAGCAGTCGGTTTCGTGGTTCATGGGCTTTCGTCGTAATACTGAACTCCAAAATTGAAGAAATACTTTTTTTTCCGACATCCATCGCACTAAAGTTATCCTACAAGTTTCACAAACAACGTGTGACCCCATCTTAATTCGTTATTGCAAAACTAAAATAGCTCAGATAGGTCAGATTTAGTGCTTTTGATATAGGTCCTCCTTCTTTTGCAAAAAGAAACTGTCTACAAACGTTACAAAAATGATGACATCTCTTTTCTACTATCTATTAGACGTGTTTAGACAGAACTCCTAGCTATCTAGCACATGGTATAATCTGTATTGATACTTGTACAGGAATTTTGTCCCCTACAACAACCTGCCTTACATCAAATCAATAATTAATATGTTCGTTCATATTTTCATTATTTACAACACGCCATTAATTAACACTTCCATATAAAACTAGTTTATTTGACATAAACTACTCCTCAAAAATTTTTTTTATTTCGTTATGTAGTCCGATTGTCATTTTTGCGATCAGAGCCTCCGCCTGTCATTCTAGGTTTTTTCCTTTAGATTAATATCTCCACATAATAGAACATGATATCCAACAAAGTCAGTATGGAGTCCGTTTGGTAAGCTATAACACGATATTACTACTTACTCAGCGTTTACACGGAGATAGCTGTTTAAATAGTGGGTGGATAGTTTTTCAGTGATAATTTAAATAGTAACTGTGCTTTAAATGGTAACCACGTGCGTTTAATTTATAGCGATTTAAATTTGTTAACCGTATGGTATCGAGTTTGTATAGGATCATTCACAACCAAACCCCTGTATTTGTTCCATAAGTTTAGCTTTCTGTCAGCTCACAACCGGTCCATACGATCGCAATCCGATTTGTTATCATGTTCCCAATTCATCAGGAAAATTGCATGCCATGTAAAGGATTTAAAATAAATATGGGATGTATGTATTATAAATCCTATACATGGCATGTAATTTTCCTTTACTAATAATCTCCTTGCTGTCATGCACAATGCTTTTTGCCTTTCAAGTTTTAAAGTATCTCGTGTCAATAAACTTATATGTTATTAACTTATATTTTGTTTGTTTTCATAAAATTTTTCCTATTTCTATTTTAGGAACCAATTATAAACTATACAAAAAGTTATCTTAGTGAGTCAATTACGTCGTTTAAATATCTAATGGATCTAATGGAATACATAAAATTTAAAGAAGCGAATCGTACTTAACATAGAACTACGGAAATACGAGAAGAATATCCTGATTGGAAAATAAACGATGTAAAATTGTAGCAGTATTCCTATAATTCTTTTATGCTTTCGAGTTTTCAGTTAAAAGAAGTGATATAAAAATTTGTTAAAATGTTTTTGTAGGTACATGATTCTTCATATTGCAGTAAAATGAAATTTTTTGTAACATTTTTATTTAGTGTTTCACATTTTTATGTTCAGTTCAAAATGGAGGGATTTCTACTATAAATAATATCATAACGAAATTGAAATGATTTCAAATCTAAGAATACAATAAAAATGTTACAATATAAATTGACGTGTTCAACGTAATAAAGTTGTGTAATAAAATAAAATTGATCATAAAATAATATCAGCTAAGAAACACTTTTCTCAAATAGAAAATCTGAGCAGTAACCGCGAAATCCATTACCAGTTGGAGAGAGACGTAATGCTTTTATTGCGAACT